AAAAAATTTCTAAAAAAAAAAAAAAAAAAAAAGGAAAAGAAAAAAGAAGGAAAGAACTGGGGACAGCAGGTGGTGGCGGGATGGTTAAGGCATTGAACTCCCACACAGTTTGAATCTCAGACCTGGTGGCTTGCTTTCTCCCTTTCCCTCTCTCTTTTTGGTGAGTGCAGATGCCCTGTAGCACATTTAATAATAATAATAATCATAATAAATAAAATTAATTGACCAGCAGGTGGCATGGTGGTTAAGGTGCTGGACTCTCACATAGTCGACTGTGGTTCAAGTCCTGGACCTGGCAGCTTGCTTTCTCTCTCTCTCTCTGGTCAAACTGAATAATAATAATAATAAATAAAATTAAATAATTATTTTCTTTAAAAGTTATAAATCTCTTTTCTGAAGAATTATTTTATTTAACTTTATTAATTAATTTATTTATTTTAATTTGACCTGAAAGCGACAGAGAGTGAAAGAGGGAAAGTGAGAAAGCAAGCCTCCAAGTCCAGGACTTTAATTGTGGTTGACTATGTGGGATTCCAATGCCCTTAAGCACTATGCCACCTGCTGGCCCCAAAAGTAATAAATCTCTTTGCTGTAGAAAATTGTCAACTATCAGGGAGCCATCTTACCAATATTAAATAAAACTAATTATTATTTTAAAATAAAGGATGGGGCTGGCAGGCAGAATGGTGGTTAAGAGCACGGGATGCCTACATGGTTGACCGTGGTTCGAGTCCCAGACCTGGCAGCCTGCTCTCTCACTTCCTCTCTCTCTCTCTCTCTTTCTCTCCCTCTCCTTCTCTGGTCCAATGAAAATAAATAAATTTAAATAAAATAATTCCTAAAAAAAATAAAGGAAAGAGGAAATAAAGAAAGAAGAAGAAAATTTGCTTGAGAGATTTTTACTATAAGGCTCTGTGCTCGCTAGAGAGACAGAGAGAGAAAGCAAGAAAATACCCTCAAGGGGGGATGGCCATGCCACAATCCCCTCTCTTCCACTCTCCTCCTAGGATCTTGGGCACACACACACACACACACACACACACACACACACACGAGTCCAGCTTGACTTTCAAATCACTGGGTCTGGGATTTGAACCACAGTCAACCATGTGGGAGTCCGGCAACGTAACCGCTATGCCATCTGCTGATTCCAGAAGAAGACATTATTATTATTATTATCATTATTATTTTAAGAGAGTTTTTTGTTTGTTTGTTTGTTTGTTTGTTTTTTGCTATAGGGCACATGCACTAGCCAGAGAGAAAGACAGAAAGTGAGAAATCACCCCCCAGAAGGGATGGCCACACTACAATCCCTTCTCCATTCTCCTCTTGGGGTTTTGGGCACACAGACACAAGCCACTGGGTCCAGAAAAAATTTAAAGAACCTGATCGAGCCAGCAGATGGCATAGTGGTTACATCACTAGACTCCCACATGGTGTACTTAAGTTCAAGTCACGGACCTGGTGACTGTGTGCATGTGTGCGCAAGATCCCAAGAGGAGAATGGAGAAGGGATTGTGGTGTGACCAGCCCCCCCCGGGGATGGAGGGTGATTTCTCACTTTTCCTCTCACTGTCTCTGTTTCTCTCTCTCCAGCAAGCACACACACCCTAAGGCCAAACCTCTAAAAATTAAAAATACAGACCTCGCCTTGCCATATGTTATGTAAAAACCGTCATTTGTTCATCAGGTTCATTTGTTCATTCAATAAACACCTACTAGGTAGCTACTGTGTGTTGTGCCCTGGACTCTGGAGCCACAGACACGACAGTGACCTTGGAGGGGCTCACACTCTCACAGCAAAGGCCACTTCTCATAATCACAGGACCTTTATTCATGCTGCCGCGCTGGGCGCGGGGGGAGTGGAGAGGAAACACCAAGTCCATCTGGGGCGGGGCAGCAGGTTGGCTTTCACAAAGGCAGTGACGGTTGAATTAAATCTTGCCAGTTGAGGAGTTTGGCAGGAAGTCAAGAGCATCTGTCTTGGGGCCAGCCGGGGGTGGGCTGGCCTCGGGGAGGGCATGTACAAATGCAGGGCTGAGGATCAGCTCCCTTATGGCCAAGGCAGAGCATGTGCTCCATCCGGGACCTTGGGCGCCGTTCAGTCAGGCTGTCCTGATGTCACGAGCTGTGCAGGTGGGCTGAGTGGCTTAGGGGACTGGGGCACAGAGGCACCAGCTGTAGCTCATTGCTGGCTTAAGTGGATTGTCTTCCAAATTCCTTGGGTCTCCATTGTCTGCTGAGCCTCCCCCAAGCCTCCCCAGAATGTGGTAGCCCCACACCCTGTAGGGTTCCTCACTAAACGCCTTTTCAGGGTTGGAAGGATTTTTCCTCTGCTTTCACTTGGGTCTGTTTTTGTTGCTACTTTTGGAATTTTGGAACCTTTCGATTATATTCTTCTCTTGTTCTGGAACCAGGCCTAGTGCGATCTGCCTCCTGGCACACTCTGAGCGCAGCTGCTTACGCGTGGGCTGGGCCCAGGAACAGGGCCACCTCTGCCTGCAGCCCTGGGGAGCACATCCTTTCTTCTTGGCTCAACTAAACATGGTAAGAGCCAGAAATGGGGATGCAGAGGAAGAGCACGTGTAAATGGACACTTTCAGCAATGGGATGTCCTTAGAACCATGTCCTGAAGCCCTCTTCCTGTCTGTAAAAGTGAACTGCATTTATAGACTCCTCAAGAACTTCCCCATCCAGATCCTTCTGTCTGGAATTTTCACTTTGACAAAACTTTATTTGTAACCATAATCTTGATGTGCACTTTTGAGAAAAATAGGAACATGCATTTTAAAATATAAGATGAAGCATAATGCACTATATATGTGCAGGTGTGTGTGTGTGTGTGTGAATTATGTTTTTAAGAATCTAGAATGTTGGGGCTGGCAGGTGGCATGGAGGTTAAGGGTGCTGAACTCCCACATGGCCTACCATGGTTCGAGTCCCAGACCTGGCGGCTTGCTTTCTCACTTTCCCTTTCTCTCTCGCTCTATCCCTCTCTGGTCAAAATTAAAATAAATAAATGAAGTTAAATAAAATAATTATTTAAAAAATAAATATTTTCAACATTTTAAACTATATCCCACTTCCCATTCCCCCAAAAAGCACATGGCATATTTAGGGAGCTACAGGAATTGGGTGAGGCTGGAGGACACATAGTGTTTGGGCCAAGAGTTGCATGCAGGGGCGGGTGGAGGAGAGGGAGGGCCAGCTCTCGAAGGGTCTTGTACACCATGGGAAGGCAGGAAGGCTCTACCCTGACAGCCCTGGGGGTTTGGGAATAACGTGGGTAGAGCAGCCTTTCAGAAAGGTTCCTAGGTCCTGGAGCTGGGTGGTGGCACAGCGGTAATGCAGATGTACCCACAAGGGAAAGGTCCTAGGTTCACATCCCTGGATGTTCATGGTCTGGCCTGCTGAGCCTGGGGGTGGATTGTGGTGTGGAGGACTTTGCTGGGGGGCCTCTCTTTCTTCTTTTTCCCAGAAGAAATAAATTTAAAAACCTTAAAAAAAAAAAAAAAGTGGAGGAGGGTGTTCCTGAGACCATCAGGAGGAGAGGATGGAAGGGACTGGG